CATATTTTGTATATACCACTTGAATTTAAAGACTATCTCAAGGATAGATTTGATACATTGAATATTAATGATACTAGATGAGTTGTAGCCTAATATCATGGATATGATATATAAAGAAAGTGAAAACTCATTAAAAATACAGTAAAGAAAGAGAAGGCCATAATGGGTCTCAAAAGAGTCTCTGAAACTTGTTTTTGAATGCATACTAGCTAAAGCTACTAGAAGACATTATGAAGCATTAGAGTTGAATAGTAGATTTCAAAGGAGAGCCTGAGAAAACAAGTAAATTATTATAATGAAATGTGCAGACATAGAAAATCGAAAGAGGAAGACCTTCTAAACAATATGGATTGATACAGTTGCAGCAACATGTAATCAGCAGTCAAGAAATCAAATGATGTATTACATTAGGTAGATCTGGTACAAAAGATTTCTTTAAATTGTTCTAGAGCAAAGATGTCAATATGAGCACTAAATTGTGCCTGACTTAAGGTATGACCTTTATGCGTGTCCAATGACCTAATATGCGTGTCCAGGCGTGGCGTTAGAGAATAAGCACAGGACTGTTAACTGAAAGATTGGCTGTTAAAATCCACCAATTGCTCCTCAGAAACCCTATGCAGGGTCACTGTGAGTCAGAACTGACTGTACAGCACTTAACAACAATAACAATATGCCTATGAAAGTTGGACAATGAATAAGGAAGACCGCTAAAGAGTTGATGCATTTGAATTATGTTGAAGAAGAATATTAAAAAGTACCATGGTCTGTCTGAAGAACAAACAAGTCTTTGTTTAAATAAGTACAGCCATGATGCTCCTTAAAACCCAGGATGGCGAGATTTCTTCTTTCATACTTCGTGCATATTATCAGGATGGACCAGCCCTGGAGAGAAGCACATCATCCTTGTTAAAGTGGAGAGTCAGCGAAAAGTCAATCAACATGGATTTACAGAGTGATGGCAACAATGGTCTAAAACAGCAACAATTGTGAGGATGGTGCAGAAGTGGACAGTATTTTGTTCTGTTGTGCATGGGGTCGCTATGAGTCAGAACGGGACTTACTGGTGTGGTACAGCAGGATAATGCATTGGACCACAAGGTTGGTTTGAATCACAAGTTGGTGATTCAAACCCACCAGCTGCTCCTTGGAAACCCTATTCAGGGTCACTATCGGTCAGAAACAACTCAATGGCTGCTAATACCAAACAACAGCAATAACAAATCTGTTTTAAATCTTTCCATGATATACTCGTAGTATACCTTATTGTATTGGCAAATACTTAACAGTTGACTCCCACCTGTCCCCCATAAAATAAATACCTTGTTGTTTTGTCAATTTCTATGACATAAATAGTTCTATTGAGGCTAATTTCAAACTACCAGTGTAATGTCATTAAATGCAGATTTGGAAAGAGGTGTACACAGTTTTTTTTTTTAATAGTAAAAACATTTATTATCAAGGGAACTGGGGAACACATGTGCTTTAAATACTGTGTATTTGGGGTGGGGATACCACACCACCACATAATTAGAACAAAAGACCTGGTATTTGTACACCTCAGACATCTTTATTTCACTCCTGTTATACCATGAATTCATAGGGCATAGGTTCTAGCAGCTCAGGCTCCTTTCCATTGGTTCTCACAAAGTGTGCCTCTCTGTGGGGAGCAACCTGGTACTTTAGCTGGACCCAGGTACCTTTCTCTTTGGCTTCCTTCTTTTTCTGACCATTTTCCTTCACTGGTTTCAGGAAGCTGCCTTGGCTCTTGTTGTTGTTGTGTGCTGTGGAGCCAGTTCTTACTCATAGTGACCTTGTACAGGATTTCTGAGGCTGTAAATCTTTACGGGAGCAGAAAGCCTCATCTTTCTCCTGTAGAACTTCTGGTAGCTTCGAACTGCTGACCTTGCGGTTCGCAGCCTGATTCATAACCCTGCTACCAGAGCTCTTCTTAATATGTATGCTCAGTGCGCACATTAATTCTCTTGGAGTGAATCTTGCCCTTGACTTGCTTGGTCACAACAATGCCTACAGCATGCTGGGTCACATTGT